GGAAGGGTTTTTGGGCTCCAAAACCCATTTTATTTGAGTTCACGGCCTAGGACTGTTGTAGGGCCGTAAAGTCATGATAATGGTCCTATTCCATAGTTTGACCACAAATTTGAAGGCCTAAGATGTTATACTAGGAGCTAGGATAGTTACCTTGATGATTTGGAGCCTTAATTTGATGATTTTGGACTTAGAGTTTGGATTTGAGGAGAGAGGTTAGAGAGAGAGTGAAAAAGCTTCAAATGAGGCTTAATCAATGAAAGAACATAATTTTGTGGTTTGAGCTAGGCATCATTTTGTATAGATGATAGTGTCTTTGTTGAAGTGATTATGTGTTGTAGTGTAATGTGTGCTGCCACACATGTGTGTGCGGTACCACACATGTGTTTGGCTGCACTCTCTTGTGCTGGCGTGAGGAGTACTATTTATAGCAACTGAGGTGTGTCAGATTGTACTGATTTTTGCTGGTGTCAGAACTCTGCTGCAGTTGTACTTTTCTCAAGATGTACTTGACATTTATTGAATATAGATGTGTGCATGCTTGATTTTACTTCTTCTTCTTCTACATCTCTCCTTTATTATAATTAACTTCATTGATTACTGAATTGGATCTCGCAAAAATAAGGGGGGTTACTTCTTTGCATTTTTTATAAAAACGAGTTTTTGATCGAGTTTTAGAGCAAAAAAGGGTGAAAACGTCGTTTTTTTCGCGAATCTGTTGAAGGTGTGCGGCTCAGGGAGTGCGACTCGCGTTGTGTACACTTACAAAAAATTAAAGAAATTTTTGAGGCTCCCAAGATTTGAACTTGGGACCTATAAGTAGTATACCACGCATCTTACCAGTTGATCTACTGAGGAATTTGTTAAACATCTCGCTTGCTTAAGTTATATACACTTTGAAAGCAACAACGTTCACTTAAATCTATAAAGAAAGGATTTTGCATCTGCAAGGAATCGATCTTACGACCTCTAGTTCATCAACCTTGCGCTCAACCAGCGAAGTCTTTATGTCGTCCCTTCAAAGTTTAAATCATAACCAATTCTTCTCGGATTCAACTTTCGAATTTTGACATTTTAAACCCAAAAAAAATTCAAATTTTATTTTTTAAAATCCCTTTTCAACCCAAAATTTTTTATTTTAATTTTTGACTTTGACTTTAAAATTTTAAGTTTGACTTTTTAATTTTGACTTTTAAGGATTGACGTTCTCGGTTTTTAAGTCAAAGGGCAATTTAAAAAAATAAAAAATAAATAAATAAATAATGAGTTCCACATCAATTCCGGTAAATGAAGTTTCATGTACTCCATCTTGTAAAGCTACAATTAAATTTCATCGCGAACAAATTGATTTGCTAAAAAGGGAAAATGAGGACCTCAAATACGAAGGCTATACTCTAAGGAAATGTCAAAAACCTTTAAAAGCACAATTAGAGGCCAAGACTAAGGACTTTAGGAAATTACAAGAAGATTACAGCAACAAGTGTGAAAATTATGATCACATTAAACGCAAACTTGCTGCTATAACTGAGGAACTTGACGCTTTGAAAATAAAGTGTGGAAAAACATATGTTGGTTTTAAAAATTACACTACATCAAGTAAGACAGTCGAGTCCTTATTTGAAAATCAATTGAAATTCAAAGGTAATCAAAACAAGGGTCTAGGGTATGATAGTGTTCCTCCCCCTTTCAATCATAACTATATATCCATACCTTTGACTCAGGAAGAGATTGACTGAGAACCATTTATGGTATACGGTAAACCAGTTGTTGAATAGGCAATTGAGGAGGTTGAGCTGAACAAGACTAATGCTTCTACTTCTTGTGCAGGCAAAGTAATAGAGGATGAGAACGCGGAGAGTTCTACTGAACAAACAAACGACTCCTTGAACTCTGAATCTGTTGCTTCGAACTCAGTTTCTTCCGATCAACCTGCTGTTGGTAAATACATGCCACCATTTCAAGCTAAATAGAGTGCCTGTTGCAACTATGCATGTGGGAAAAGCAAGAGACAAGGCAAAGATACGCCACCAGGGGCAGGAAGAAACAACTCCACAGTAAAGAAAAAGACATGTTTTCACTGTGGAACACATGGACACATTGCTAAAAATTGTCCTAATCGCACATGCGTTCCCTACTATGCACAAGGCTGGCAGAACGTGCCAAGAGGGAGATTTTCTAAAAGAAACCCCTCAAGGTCACGTTCAGACCATGGTGACTGGAATGCACAGAAAACTAAGAATCCAACTCCCAAGAACAAGAAGGGAATGTCGGCCAAGAAGCCAAATCCAAGAGATGCTCCCGTGAAGTCAAAATCAAAGTCATCTCAACGGCCAACATCAAGTCCCAAAGCAAGTACTGAGCCACCCATCAGATCGAAAAAGAAATGGGTTAAACCCAACTACAATTGGGTTCCAAAGGCTCACTCTCCCAAATATTCTAACGACTCTAATATTTCTTCATCTTCTGTTTGTGATAAACAGGATATGTCTTGGGAGAGAGTTCCTTACACTGATGACAAAGGTCGACCCAGTTTCAAAATGGACTAGGTTCCAAAGACCAACTGATCTCGCTCTATGCTGGAGCAGCTATGGAGGCATATTATCAGACTTTGGTTTGTTGATAGTGGTTGCTCCACGAACATGATAGGAGACATCTCTCAACTATACAACACTCAGAACAATGTTTGAGAGTATGTGTCCTTGCGGGAAGGGAAGAAAGGAAGTGATCACTCACGGGTTTGTGCTTAATGACATGAAGAATTTTCGGATCTGTTCTGAGATTACGCATGCTGTTCTCGGACCTTCTGGATGAAAATTCAATCGGTGACTTACGGTTTGAGTTTTCTTTTCTATACCCCTAAGTTTTTCTTAAGTTGATTCGCTTTAAAGACCAAATTTTGTTTTAGGATAGTTTAAATTTGCACATTTACTTTCGTTTCTATCCTATGCACAAATTTAGGGGGAGAAATAAAAAAAACCAAAATTAGAAAATTTTAAAAAAATTAAAAAAATAATATGTTGGTTATGGAATGTGCTTGAGGGAGATGTTTTGGGAAGTAAGTGATAACAGGCAACCTGAGTCTGTGTAACGTACCCAAAGTTGAAGGGTCTATGCTTTGGTTTGATGTGTCGGTAGGCACGAAAGATTCTAAATGGACATGACTAGGCAGAATTCAACTTAGGAAATCAAATGACTTGACAAATCTTGATCTAGATAGTTCCGTTTAGCCTGACAATACGACGCTCGGATAGGTTGAGCAGGGAGATATATATGGGAATCTACTAGTCACATTAAATGAACCTGTATCTGGAACCGTGGTTTAACTTTTCCTCCATGTGCGGATTCTGTCCTTAATTCCGGTATTGATGGGGCAACTAGTAAAGTCCGATAAATTAGCTCTATAGAAAATCATTTTCTTTCTTTCTGTCTGTCAGTCATATGTTACCTCCTCTGCGTGATTGGAAGAGATCTGACCTGGACTGTAACATATGCAACTCTATTTCTCTGGATATTATACCTATACATATATGAAATTCCTCTTATATGTTAGCCATATGATGTCTCCTTTGCATGACTAACAATCCAACCTAGTACACAACATATGCACTATAAGTGATAATACTTTGAATCTATCTTCTCCCCTAATGATGGTATACTCATCCGATGTAAGGAGTACTCTGGAAGTCTTTGATTACCGGGGCATATCTGGAAGCGGGAAACATGTTCCAGTACAATTAAAATTGAACACTCAAAGATTGTCTATAGATCTCGCTGCTCAATTTAGGTAGACAACAATATCCCTGGTCGTCGTCAGCTAATGGTCCTTAAAATATAGTAAGATATAGTATCTAGAAACTTAGGATCAGATATAATATTTAGGAATTTAAGATCACATTGTCTTGTCACTTATAGTATGTCCTAATTTTATCACAATTTTTCGTGTTTAAGTGGACAACAATACCGACAATCGACCAGACAAAGATGTGAATATGAAAGGTACCGACAAGCGAATAATGGTTGTCTAAAAACTTTGATCCCTAAACCTCAACAGGTTAAAACAATTTATATAGGTTTAAATTGATTCTTGTCATCAATAGTATTTTCAATCTCATTTTATTTTTTATTTTTATTTATTTATTTATTTTTATTTTATTTTATTTTTATTTTTTATTTTATTTTAAATTTTTTTCTTGAATCTTTGAAATTAAAACTCTATTAATCCTCAAAATAATTCATTTTTGAGAAAATAGTGAAGTGAAAGGGGTTTTGGGATAAATAATTAGAGGAAAAGGGGGAGAATTATTTTCATATATATAGTGTGCATGTGCGGTGAAAATCATATAGTCACTATTCCTGCTTCAACAGCACACACATATTTACTCTCTCAAACTCTTTAAATTTCCATGAAGTTTTTTTGTGAAAACAACCTTTTTACTCGGTAATTTTCATGAACACGGCTGAATTTTTAATTACTTTCACAAAAAATTTTATAGTTTTCTGTTGAATCATCATAAAAATTTGTTTATCTTCAAGTGTAACCGCACACGGTGTGTGCGGCTAACTGTGTGCTGCCACACTCCTTCATGAATAAGCGTGTGCGGCTGACCGTGTGCTGCCACACTTTCTCATGAACAAATGTGTGCAGCTACATCATTCTTATATGTTGCCCTAATAATTTCATGTGTTAACTTTAAGATTAAAATGGGAGACATAGAGTTCGCTAAAGCTCATAATTCTGCAATTTTTCTTGAAGATCCTCCTGCAGCCCACAGTGACTTGAAATTCATTGTGGATGGTTTGAAGAAATCATGCTTGGTTCATTGCTTAGCTACAAATCCTGCTATCTACCAAAGTTTGATTAAGGATTTCTAGAGAAATGCTGATGTAAAGAAGAATGATCGAGGTGAAAATTTCTGGACACAACAATCGAAGACAAGAAAATTCTAGTTACAGAAAGCATCATCAGAGAATGTCTTTAAATTGAGGACATACCTGAGTACCTCATGGAGATTGACGTTCATCAAATTGAGAAAGTTTTAGAGCATATGGGATATGAAGGAACTTTTCCTCCTACAATCAAAAAGCTGCTTCCTCCATGCTGGAAGCTTTTGGCTCATGTGTTCGTGAGTTGCGTTTCTAGCCGGAGATCAGGAGCTAACGAGATTTCTCTAGCCAATACTGGTGTCATTGCTGCATTGGCAGCAGGTTTTGAGTTTAATTTCTCAAAATTCATAATGAATGAAATGATACTAAATATTGAAGGAAGCAAAAGAGACAAATTTTGTATGTATCCAAGATTTCTAGAAATCATGCTTAACGTAACTCACCCCAAGTTGCAGAGAGGAAATGATACTCTGGATTTCAAATCCATTGGTCCAAGTGCCTTTGGATTAATGAAGCAAAAGAGAGGCGGAAAATTTGTATTTGAAGGAAAATTTCAATTAATAAAATTTGAAATATTTAAAGAGGATGTCAGAGAAGAAGCAGCAGATCAATCCATGCCGATGGAAAATGAAGACACTCATCAGTCTCCCTCCGAGCCTGTAGTGGAGGAGATTCATCACTCTCCCAGAACTTGTGTAGCTAATGAGCATGATTATCAGAAAGCAAATGATTCAATATCTTCTCCAGGGGATGATGACGATGATCTTTATGAAGATGTAGAGTTTTTGAAAGAAATCTACTTTACAGGAATCAATGATGACATTCCAACAAACATAGAGTTTGATTTTGGTGATGAAGATTTTGATCCTTTTTTTGATATTCCCTGCAGCCGTGCAACTAAAGTCAATGAAGTTGCTTCTCTAGCAACCAAGACTAGAGATGAAGGAAATTCTCTCAAAATTATGCTCTCTACCTCAAAGCCCTTGGAAATCACAACAAGTCAAGGAGATGTGACATCAGAGATTCCTCCCTCTGTGTCACCTGTCTCAACATCAACTCTAGTCATTTCTATGTTATCTGAACCTCAAACTTCTTAGACCTCAATAAGAACAAGCCAATCTCTTGCAAGTCTGGAGGTACCCTCTATGAAATGTGCTCCTCAAATTATTTCAACAATCACTGCAGCCACTGCTCACTCTCCTTCAAAGCAGACTGATGAAGGTCCAAGCACCATGTTCGAGATTGGTGGATCCTCTTCTATTCCAGAATATTCTCCAACACGACCTTCTCTTGATGAAGCATCTATCAGATTAGTAAAACATTTAGCTCAATCTAGTCCAACCTCTTCACGTGGAAAAGGAATATCATTTAACGAGGGTCGGACAGATGATGACAAATCATCTTCATCTGATCTCCGAGAAGAAATTGGAATTCTCCATCAACAGCTCATTGAAAAGTCAATTCAGATGGATCAGCTTTTTGCACATATTTTTGAGCTCAGGGCAAAAGATGAAGAAAAGACCAAACAAATCAAGGATCTACAAACGAGTCTTGGTTCTATTCTAGAAAATTATTTCAATCTCAAGAATGTATTGTACGATGCTTTTGGTGAGAAAGTCAAAGCCCTCTTCCAACAGCCTCATGGAGTAGTTGATCCTCCTTCTGTTCAATCACCTCCTACAACTGATGATCTACCTATTGACCCACTTGTTCCAAGAACAACTACCATTGTAGATATATTTGAAAAGGAACCTGAAGGAAGCAGAGCCAGAATCACAATCAAGCAGGGCAAAAGAATTGTAACTACAAAACAAAGCGAAGGCCTTTTATTCATGAAAACTCTAATGAAAATCGCAAAACAAAAGACCCTGTCTTGACAGTAACAGATTTGAAGAAAAGAAGGTTCGGTGATGAGTATGGTGAAAGGACAGGCATCCGAATGTGGGCCTTTGATCCAGTGACGAATTTGCAGGTTGTAAAGCGAAAATCAGGAGCATCTAAATGTTACAAAAGCACCCATGATTTCAACTCTTGGACCAAAACTAATCTAGTTGAATTATCCAGGGCCCCATTCCATAACCCCTCTGAAGATCCTAATGCTTCAAATTTTAAAAGATTTCTCGACAGACAAGTCAAAGAGAACTTTCCTTCAATGAAGACTGCCAAAGCCCTATACAAAAAGGACAAAGATGTTCTTGATCCAGAAACAGGCGAACCCATGAAGATTATACTTTGGCCTGCAACTAAGAAACAAAAGGAAATTCCTATTCCTCAACATTTTTATGAGGGATATCTAGATGACATGGAATTTTGGGCATATGATGACGAAACAGCTACTGCAGCCATCAAATTGAAGAATCGAGAACATATTCTGAGATTGATTATTGCTAAAGATCTTCTCCGCTTCAGAGAAAGGGATATACGAACTTTGGCCCGTCATCAAATCATTTGCAAAAAGGATGTCATGGAAGCTGCTGCTAAAGAATACACTGCAATGGTAGCTACAATTATAAATGGAAGATTGTGGATGAGATCAATGGGGAGATCAGATCTGAGGTTGTTTGAGAAGCCCACTGAGGAGCCAAAGGAGTGAAGACAAGACTATGCTAGTCTCAAACCAAGTGGGAGACTAAAAGAACATAATTTTGTGGTTTGAGCTAGGCATCATTTTGTATAGATGATAGTATCTTTGTTTACCCGAATTGATAATTTGGGCCGACTTATTTGGCAGCACTCTCTATGCTAGTGTGTGCGGCCGCACACAGTGTGTGCGGCAGCACACATGTGTTTGGCTGCACTCTCTTGTGCTGGTGTGAGGAGTACTATTTATAGCAACCGAGGTGTGTTAGATTGTACTAACTTTTTGCTGGTGTCAGAACTCTGCTGCAGTTGTACTTTTCTCAAGATGTACTTGACATTTATTGAATATAGATGTGTGCATGCTTGATTTTACTTCTTCTCCTTCTACATCTCTCCTTTATTATAGTTAACTTCATTGATTACTGAATTGGATCATTAAATTTGGGACTTATAATCAACTTTATATATTGTTCGAGTTTGGGAAACGGTGAAATTCTACCCGATACCGACGTTAAACGGGATTTTGGTCGCACCCGATTAAGTTGTCGTAACCCGGCGGGACCAATTCTAAAAAATTTCAATTTAATAATTTGGGCCGTTTACATGAGTTTCTATGGAGTTTGGACACTCATGAGATTATAATAAACATATAAATTTAAATAACTTAGCTCAAAAACGAAATCGGAACGAATTGCTAAAGACGGGTTTTACGGGTGGAACGGGTTACGACGATGGAACAACTTCGGGTTGTCACACAAATGGAGAGAGAAGGAGAATATAAAAAGGGTAAAACCTACAAAAAATAATAAAGGAAATACACAGAGTTATAACTCCATCATGAAATTATCGAGTGAAAGCCCCAAACCTAAACCTAAATAAAAATTGAACCCATATCTAACCTTCAGATGCATATTCATATGAACCTATAATATGTGCATGGCAGCGTGAAATAATGGTGCGGCAATTGGCGGTCGTTGCTGGAAAACTGGGGTGGGTCGTCGTCGTTGCTGAAGCAGACGGAACAATACGAAACAAAGTCGGTTAGGTATAACATGAAGTAAAAGGATGATTCCACACTAATTTATAAAGAGATGGGGCTGAGTTTCTAGGGGATTTGGAGATTCAAATTTGAAAGTAACTATAGTTCCTTGATCTGTGCTAGGAATCGTTCCATACAGATAAAAAGGGAAAAATTTCGATATACAGGGAGGAGATAACAGGGTCAGGATAAAGAGAGAGAGGAGGGAATGGATTAGATATATTTAGATTTCAAAAGTCATGTTGACTCATTGTAATCAAAAAGTATGATTTTTTTAAAATTTAAATCCTCTATATTGGGTAAGATAAGGATGTAGATTTGAATGTTTCAATACTAATTTTACATTTGTACTTAATGCATTGTATTTTGTAATTTGTTGCTAAATGTTTGTACATTTAGCTTAAAGGATTGGACGTCTTAAATCTATTTTTAGAAATAGTAAGGTTTGTATAATAAGATGGTATATATATATTAGTAATGAAATAATTGTTCTCACTAACTAGCCCCCCTTTTTTATATGCTTACAATGTCTATGTAGTATACCTGGTAATCCTCATGATTACTTGGTGTATACAGTATATATATATATATATATATATATATATATATATATATATATATATATATATATTACTACTTTATAATACATACATATCAAAGGCCCCACAAGATTTTAAGACTAAGATCTTAAAACTAATGAGAGAGATTATAGGTCTTTAGATGTTATTTGGATGGTATAGATTAATAGTTGATGATCCATGTAAATGGATTTAAACCAATCGAAATCACCAATATCAAATGTACTAATTTTTTTGCATCAGGTATCATACATCATGCTTAAACAAACACAATCGCAATAGGATTAGGATCACATGTTATTACACAACCTGAACACTCTCTTTTTAAAGTCACCTTATCTCGCTTCCCTGATACCGATATCTCCATGAACCTCCTCCTAACGTCACCACCAAGGTGCTGTTTGTTTTTCTGAAGCCAAAATGTCTGCAGTCTGCGGACCACATCTACAAGCCTCTGCAGCAGAAGATGTGGACCAAACATCTGCAGTCTGCAATAAGAAGACTGTTTGTTTTTTAATGTCAGTAGGCTGCTGAAATAAACTGAATTTTAAATAAAATTATTTTACAAACTTAAAATGATTTTTCAACACCAAAATTTTAATAATAATAGTCTTATCACATTGAAAATAAAATTCATGCAACTAAATTAGTCATACAATAAAAAAAACTTGTTTTACAATAACAATTTCATTTAAAACAATTCAATCTATGTTGAGCATCAACTGATCAGCAATTTCATCCCGTAACTGAGTCATATATTCACGGTCTGCTGCAGTACCATGTGTTGGAATCCCGTCTTCATCATCATCAATGGCCACATTGTTATTTCGAAACAGGACATTGGGTTCATCGTATCGTGCGAAATACTCATCACTCAATCCTTCTTTTCTTTATTGGTCAATGCACGTCTTTGACGAAAATCTCCAAGCCAATACCTCACATTACGATAAGGGGCCATAAATCCTCGAGTGTGTGCATACGCGGCATCACAAAGATAATATTTTTCTGAAAAAAATGCAAAACACGAATCAATTTTCAAATTAAGATAACAATATTTAAAAAAAAAAAAAAAACAAAACCTTACCTGGTGGTGGAAACGGGAATGATGCTTGTGGATCGGCTATTGCTTCTGATAATATTCTAGAGTCATGCGCTACCCCTTCCCACCCGGTCACAACAAAAGTAAAAATCATATTGAAGTCACAAATTGCCAATACGTTTTGGTAGCAATCTCCCTTTCCCCTACTTCTATATAAGTCTTGTTTCTTAGCAAGGACAACAGCATGTATCAAAGTGCCATCAAGTACACCAACTGCTCCTTTGAAAACCCTTCGTAGCCTCCTATTATGTCCTGGAATGTTTGGATTCGGATTAAAAGATGTTGGTACTATAACATCTTGTGCGAAAAGCATCATTTTTTCCAACACTTCATAAAAAAATTTATGAATTGTTTGCTTCGAGTGTTGAAATCTCCACTTGATAATCACGTAACGTTGATTATGTCCGATCATCATCAAAAACATAGCCATCTTTTCCTCAACTGATACATGTTTGCTGTCCTTTAATGAGTAATTTGCTCTAAAATGAGCACATAGTCATACGAAAGATTCACGGGACATGCGTAATACTTCAACACATTGTAAACGATTACGGTGTAATAACTCCAATGTGTATTCATGTCCCGTCATTTCCGAATCATTATCCTGCAATCGTGTCACACCCCTCTTCCAAAAATAACGGATGTATAGGTACATAAGAATTACGAGAAGTAACTTTTGATCGTGATCCATATGAACCTAAAATCAACAAAGTAGAACTTTAAAAAACATTACATAAACCATATTTCAAGTATCAAATAAACATTCCATTAATCATATTTCAAGTACCAAAAAAAACATTA